AAAGAAATCTTCGTACTTACGCCTAGTAAAAAATTACAGACCGATTAGAAGGTCTGCATTATGTCTTCCACCAATTTTGCAATTTTTAAAGCTCATTGCATAATCTGTATCATAGATCACGTGATAAATATCTAGGTAATGCATTCTTATAAAGTCAGTGCACCTGTGCAAAGTCGACAGTATAAAGAAGCACTTCGAAGTGTAAACGTACCTGTGAGCCGCACAGATTGAATTCTTTTCTGGCTTACCAATTCCATATTAAGTTGGTATTCTCGTGCATGCCAAAATCAGTTTTGCATTCGAATTCGAATCAGACTTAAGAAAAAATAGCTATCAGCGCGATAAGGTTTTTGTTTAAGTGTATCTAGGAGTAAGATTTCTGCACGATAATTATTACGCAAAGTAGGTTATTAATAACATTTTTTTCAATCGCATCATTGCGAGTAGGTAGCTAATTCTCGCCGCTATAAAAAGTACATCACTGGTGTGTTGTAACTAGGTAAGCACTTTCAGATTCACTCGGTAATTACCTATACCCCCATTCAAACTTTTTTTTTTGGTGACTATGGCCAAATACGAAATTGTTGGCGAATTTCAAAAGAACGTTAAAAGGTTCGCATTAAGGGGGCGTACAATAGAATTCAAAATCAAAGACGTTCCACCCAATGAAAACACAGTGTTGTGGATCAAAACAGCCATCAACCAAATAATCTCTTATATATGCACTGACGTTTCTCCTTCTGATATGATCGGGTTTAATTTTTGTTCTAAAAAGTTTTCGCGAGGGGGAGGGTACTTACGATTCCAGCCTGCCGAATCGGTATCTTTTGAAGATATTTGGGGATTAATTTCGAGCATTTATCAATCTAATTCAGCTGGTTTAAGTACGGAAACCTTCTGTTTGGAGGCTACAATTATCCGGGTGCCATCCGGCAAAGGTAGGATTAAGGCGGGTAACTACAACAATTTTGAGGAAGAATGTTCTGCTCGAAAGGGGATTATTTCCATTAAAAATACAGATAACTTATGTTTACCCAGAGCTCTTGTTGTTGCCATAGCTAAAGTCACGGGCGATTCTGGTTATGAGAACATAAGAAGAGATAGAGGTCATGTTCAGTTAAATAAGGCGAAACAGTTGATGCAGGAAGCTGAAGTATACATTGAGGCAAACGGTGGCGGAATACCCGAACTGAACAAATTCCAATCTTATTTTGGTAACAACTTTAAGATTGTGGTATATAATTTCGGTACTAAAGGGCGCGAAGTCATATTTGAAGGCAACTCAGACGCAAAGTTGACAATCAATCTATTATATTTTGAAAATCATTACAATGTTATTACTTCACTAACGTCGGCTTTTGTGTGCCGATATTATTGCGAACCTTGCCATATCCCCTATAACAATAAAGGGGGTCATATTTGTGCCAGTATTTGCATATCTTGTAAACGGTCCCCCGCATGTGATCGAGAGCTGATAATTAAATGCGCTGATTGCCGTAGGAATTTTGTCTCAAATTTATGTTTCAGTAACCATAAACTTCACTCGGGAAAAGAAGATAAATCGGTTTGTGAAAAATTTTTTAAATGTCGTACGTGCTACAAAATAGTTTTAGCCGGGCGAACTCACAGTTGTAATACAATTTATTGCAATATATGTCACCAAAACCGACCAAATAATCATCTTTGTTATATGCCCTTGGATTCCTCTTCACCAAAATTAACAGATTTCCTTTTTATTTTTTACGATTTAGAATGCACGCAAAACAAAACTGTATCTGATGGAAAATCTTTGCATGAACCAAATTTATGTGTTTTCAATCAGAGGTGCGAAGTATGCATCGATTATCCAATCGAGAAAGTTGTTTGCAGAAAGTGTGGTGTACGTCAACAGGTATTAAATATGAGCAGCATAATTGAGACGTTTTTTCAACATATTTTAGAGATAAGAAAGAAGTTCAAACATGTAATAGTTTTGGCACACAATGGACAGGCTTACGACCATCAATTTATTTTGAATTATATTTTAACCAAAACTCAGTTCAAACCAGAATTAATTATGAGAGGTTCAAAAATAATTTCCCTGAGTATGAATAATGTGAAACTGTTAGACTCTTTGAACTATTTTCCCATGTCCCTCGCCAAGTTACCAAAAGCGTTCGGTTTAACAGACGATTTTCGAAAAGGATTTTTTCCGCATCACTTTAATACACCCGAAAATCAAAATTATGTAGGACCGTATCCCGATATGAAGTATTATAATCCAGATGCTATGAAGACCGACGAAAGAGATAAATTTATTAGTTGGTACACCGAAAATAAAGACAACATCTTTGATATGCAAAAGGAAATTGTCTCTTATTGCATATCCGATGTAAATATATTAACGCTCGCCTGCCTGAAATTTCGAGAATTATTAATTAAATCCGGAAATGTGTGTCCGTATACAGAGGCATGTACGATTGCCAGCGCATGTAATAAACTGTTTCGTCGTAACTTTTTGAAAACAGACACGATCGGTTTGATTCCTAGACAGGGATATCGATACCGCGATAATCAATCAAAAGTAGCAATTCACTGGTTAATATGGGAGGAAAAGGTGCGAGGAATAGACATCGTGCACGCTGCCAAACAGAAAGAAATCGTCATCGGTGGTTTGCCTGTTGATGGGTATTGTCCACAAACAAATCAGGTATTTGAAATGATGGGGTGCTTTTATCATGGGTGTGTAAAATGTTTTAAAAATGATCGCGACAAACCTATACACAGTAACTCGTACGAAACGATGGATTTAAGATACGAAAATACCTTGTCAAAAATCAATCACCTTAATCAACTAGGTTACGAGGTAATAGTAAAATGGGAATGTGAATTTAAACAAGATACAAACCCCAACATAAATAAGTATGTGTCTGAACACCCATTGGTACATTTTGCTCCATTAAACGCGCGAGACAGTTTTTACGGCGGTCGAACCGGTAACATAAAGTCCTACTATAAAGTAAAAGACGGAGAAAAGATCAATTACATCGATATCTGTTCATTGTATCCCTACATTTGCAAAGTAGGCAAATTTCCTATTGCCCATCCTCAGGTCTTAGTAGGGAGCGACTGTGCCAATCTCGACGTCACAAAAGTCGATGGACTTATTAAATGCAAGGTACTGCCTCCACAAAATTTATTTCATCCCGTTCTTCCAATAAAGTTAAATAATAAATTAATGTTCCCTCTGTGTTATTCCTGTGCTAAAAATTTTACGCAGGAGGATTGTTCCCACGAAATAGGCGATAGAGCCATTGTGGGAACATGGGTGGCCGACGAAATTGTCAAATCTATAGAAAAGGGTTATAGGATTATGGAGGTATACGAAGTTTGGAGTTATAAAACGGAGCAGTATGATGGCAAGTCAGGTGGTTTATTTACTGAAATGATGAATAAATTTATTAAAATCAAACAAGAAGCGAGCGGGTGGCCATCTAACTGCAAAACTGACAAAGAAAAACGAGCCTATATT